GAATGAAAATTCATCCAGTATACTCATTAGGCCTCCAAATTAAAACATGCTGGAATTTAGCTTCTACATGCTACGTGATCTCATTTGACTCCCATACAAAGTACTAATGTGTATTCTAAAGAGTTGTTTGGATTGGTCATTTAAATATAATTGATAATTAATAATTAATAATAATTATTTATAATTTAAAATATCTAATCTATTTAATTAAAATCTATAATTGATAATTATTTACAAAACACCAAACCATACGGCATACACTCCTTAAATCTTTCATAATCAAAATACTTAAATAAACAATAATAAATTTTGTCCAACACTAAATGGTATAATGAGAAATGATTTTTGTACAATTTTTTTATTTCACTTTTTTTTTTATAACTTAACGTGTTATTTAAATTATTGGTTTTTTAATTCATACATGATTCATAATATTAAATACACCCACTCATTTAATAATATGTGAAAGTTATATAAAAAAATTATCTCTATAATACCACACATGATCTAATAGTTATATTCCTGCGATAGAAGGTATTAGCACAAGAAAGTTATTGTTTCTACACCATGACACTGTTAATCACTTAATCCCCACCCCAAAATTTCTCTAATTAAGTACCAAAAAAAAAGAGCACCAAATCTTGCATGACATGTCATCATCATGATTAATAAATACACGAAGACGGACTCAGCAGCATTGATCCACTCCTATCACTGTTCCAAATCTCAGTGATCTCTGGCTTTTCTGCATATTTCTGTGCATGATCATTATCACCACATAAATGGCTCAACAGTCCAGTAATATCTGTGATTAAAGAGACGTGTCAAGCATACCTTAAAGACCATTCTCGGTAGGTGTTTTTATGACAATTGTACTTTTCAAATTGCAATCGCAACTGCCCCATTAATTATTTATTTACTCCCATTCCAGGCGTAGCTTTACATATCATACCTAGTTTGTTTAGGGTGGCATATTAAATTATTAAGGTTATATAAATATATATTTTTTAAATAATTAATTATGATATTTAAAAATTTTAGTATATAAATTTAATTTAATTTATTAAATAATAAATATTAGATATTTTATTATTTATTAATTATTTTTAATTGTCAAATTAAATAAAATTAATGTTTTAAAAAATAATATTTAAAATTTTTGTGTGTCCTAACACTTTGTTATATGACCATAACTCATTTTTTCTTGGATTTTTGTACATTTTGGAGACTTACTGAATATTAGGATTCAACTTAATAATTTAAGTAGATGATCGAAAGAGAATTTGAAGAAAGAAAGACTATCTTTTATCATATAACTTATTATTAAATGTGTCAAAAAAATATTATTATAAATTATGTTTCACAATGCAGAAAACCCACTAAAAGCAAGTCAAATGTTTAACATCCTCTTGTTTGAATGAAGGACGATAAAGACAAGTGTAATTATTGAAAAAATAATGAGTGTTTAGTGCTTGAGTTAGTGCTTATTCTCTTGTTTTGGTTGACCTAAATGCCTCTATTAGTAAGTGGTTTATAACAAAGATGAAGATGATACAGAAAACACCTGCTGGGAGTCTGGACAGAGTTACAAGGAACAGAAGGAAATGGCATGTGAGTGTGGGCAACGCCAGGTCATCTGTTTATACTTTTGCCATTGACAATGTTATATATATGGTCTTTTTTTAAGTAGAACAATCATAGTGTTTGCCAATTAGTTTTTATATATTTTAAA